AATGCAAAATAAAAACAAATTGGGAAAAACTATTTTTGTTTTGCTTTATTATTTTGGGAATATTTGTTCACATGAAATTCATGATTCGTGATTAAATTCGCGAAAATTTACTTTTAAATTTCTCGTCAGATTTTGCAAAAAAATTGGCTTTGTGGTTAGTTCACCATTAACCTCAACAAATTTCGAATTTAAAATTTCCAATGTACCTATTCCAAAAACTTGAATTCGGCTTGCGCAGAGCGCCCTCCAATAAGCAGTTAGAATAAGTAAAATTTTGATCACTTTCTTCATTCGTTCTGAAACATAATTTCGTCAACCCCCTTTTTGAGATTATGCAATAATTTTCAGGTTCATCATATTCGACATCTTTGAGTGGACTGATGAAATTTTCTGAAAAATATTACTGCTCGTGATCAGGTAGCATGAATTTAATGAAATGTCATAATTTTATTAAAAGTCAAATGGGTAACAACAACAACGAATGTCATTAAATGAAACTACCCTCTTTTTTGAATCATGGTATATAACATGAACGAAGGACACAATATCACCTAAGAACAAGAGAGTGAAAAAAGTCGATTTTTTTTAGCGGGTTCTACGCCATCTTGTTTCACTGGAAAACCAGCGAAAAGTAAACAAAGCAAAGAAAACAACGAAAACCAAACTTAGCCAGAATTATTGTCAGCCACTTTAAACCCACAAATTAGGTAAAATGATGCAACAAAATGCTTTAAAATGTGTTGTCATGTTGAATTAACTCTTCTTTACTTGAATAAAAGTGTAAAATAGTGTTGCTTGTGATGTAAACAAACGCTCAGCTGACGAAGCCGCTTTCGCAAACTTTTTTCTCAAAACCAGTTACAAATACAACGTCGCGTTCTTACGTGATCTTGTATTTTTGGTTCATATACCATGTTCTGACCGACATCGAAAACATGTTTTCGTTGGTAAAACTGGTTTTGGACCTAAAACTTGTGTTTTCGTCCATGTAAAATCTGTCAAACGAAAACTAGTTTTCGCTGAAAACCACTTGAAAACTCACGTTCCACTCAAGCCATTCGGTGTCTGCACTACTTTTTTCCATTATTTATCGAAGTGGAAGTCTTATTTTATCAATTTTAATACGTCATTTCGGATTTATTGTTAATTGGCTGGCCAAAATAAAGTAAGCATGGAAGTAAAAGGTTGTTAATGAAAAGAATTTAAAGGAAAAGTATTTTGGTTTTGTTTTTGTGTAGCAAAACTGTAAACAAAGGATGAAAGCAATGTCACCGAAAACACCAACAGTCGGTGTGAACAGCCTTCAGCACACAATCCCAAAACATGAACCAATTAGAACAGATCTGACCGGTTGAGAAGCAGCCATTTGTAATAGCAATTGAGAAAAAAGTGTGTGACGTTCGTAGTTTTGAAGTTTGCTATTTATGTTTTGCTTCTTTTTTTATATGTATTTTGTCGGTAGTATATTTCAATGATTTTTAAGTGATTTTTTGTGCAAATGTAATTATTATGAAGTGCGCGGTGATTGAATGCAAAAACACGTACATAAATCATAAATTGGTTAGCACAAACATGTGCACAACATTGCTTGCAGTTTTTCTTTATGCTTCGTCTTCATATTCTTTGTTTACATTTCACAGAAAATAACATGGCGCCGAAATTAAAAACGTCAGCCAGAAAATTACTTTCTTCTTTTGCTCCATCTTGTCAGATCTTGTGTAGTTGGATCATGATCCCAAAACTCGCTTTCAAGGTGTTTTCGCATGAACCAATTAGAGCAGATCTGATCTGTTGAGAAGCAGCCATTTGTAATGGCAATTGAGAAAAAAGTGTGTGACGTTCGTAATTTTGAAGTTTGCTATTTCTGTTTTGCTTCTTTCTTTATGTGAGTTTTGTCGGTGGTTTATTTCATTGTTTTCTAAGTGATTTTTTGTGCAAATGTAATTAAAATGAAGTGCGCGGTGATTGGATGCAAAAACACATACAAAAATAATAAATTGGTTAGCACAAACATGTGCACAACATTGCTTGCATTTTTTCTTTATGCTTCGTCTTCATATTCTTTGTTTACTTTTCACAGAAAATAACATGGAAATTACAAACGTCTGCCAGAAAATTACTTTTTTCTTTTGCTTCATCTTGTCAGATCTTATGTAGTTGGATCATGGTGTTTTCGTTATCGGTCAGAACATGGTAATAGACTAGGTATGTTCGATATTTAAGAAAGTATCGATATCATGAATCGATTTAATTCACTGTATGTAAAATCGATACGGCGATATATCGGGCTGGACAATATCGATACCGGAAAAATCGATGCTGAAAATCCTACTCCCAATTGAATAGAATATTAGACCTGCTTATCAACTCAACTAATTGTATTTCCATCTTTTATATTTACTGAGGATTAAAACGGTATGCTGGTCGACTCAAGCGGCTTGTCAAACCTAAGAGCTAAATAAATCACACAAGCTGTTGATTAAACCTACTTTAGTATTTTTCCATACACTTCTTTGTAAATGAAAAATAAATTACAACTTAAATATCGATATTGCGGGTAAAGTATCGATGTCTTCGATATATCGACCTTGGAATATCGATTAAAAAAATCGATTATCGTGCCATGAAATATCGATATTCAGAAAAATCGATACGATATCGAACATTCTTAGAATCAAGGCGTATAAAAAAAAAATCTGAAGTGTATTTCAGAAAACCTCAAATGTATTTCGGAAAAGCTCTAATGTATTTCAGAAAAGGCCAAATGTATTTCAGAAAAAGCCAAATGAAATTCAGAAAAACACAATTGTGTTTCAGAA